AGAGTGGGAAAAGTGCGTGGAAGAAGGAAAGAAGAACAAAGAGGATATTGTGGAGAAATGTTTTCAGGCTACCACTACTTTGAAAAAGTGTATGGAAGCTCATTCTGATTATTATGCGCCAATTTTGCAGGCTGAGAAGGTAGTTGAGGAGAAGGTTGTGAAGGAATTGGAAAAGGAAAAAGAAAGGTTAAATAGCCTCTCAATTCAAATGTTGCTTTAAAATTGAATACAAGGATTTTGACATGGTACAATATTATGTTCTTAATTTGTTTCGATTGTTAAAATTATTTTAAATTTTAATAAGCAAGGTAGAAGAAGATTAAAGAGGGGTGGTGTAGAGAAAAAGTGGCACAATGATATTGGGCCTTTTACTAAAAGATGGGCTGAATATGTTGGGCTGGACATTTATTAATTGGTGACCTTTATGAGACTTCTTTTATAAAGTATAGGGTTGACTGATTTTGGGAATTAAAACATTATCTCTCTCAGATTCTTTCCTGCGAACTCTCTGTCCTCTTAACAGTTCTTTGATTTTGCATCTTTGAAGCTTGAAATCTCTTGTAATCTTTAATAGTATAGTGGCTATACATTCTTGAGTGAATTGTAGTGAGGCTATTGTGTTTCCTTGTGTGGATTCCATTCGGATTCGAGAGAGCTTTGATGTTATGTGATAAGTATAGATACTGTACAATTCTTGAGTGAATTGTAGTGAGTTGATTGTGTATCCTAGAGTGGATTTCTTTGTGCGATGCAAGAGAGTTCGAAACTGTGGATGATTCTTGTGTGAATCTTACTGAGTGCCCGATTGTATTGATGAACAAACTTTGATCCTTGTTTAATAGAGTGATTTCTTCTGGTTGGTGGAAGCTCAAAAGGGGATTAGGATTTTTAATACGAACCTCTTGCCTTAGGGCGGAAATTTCTTGTGTTCACTTTCTATTTTCAGCTTCTTGTACTTTTATATTTGTTGATTGAATGTTTGATTTGGCTAATTTGGAGTTTAGAATCTCTACAATTTCATTTTACCATGTAGTAGTGTCATCTCATTTTATATTTATTTTTCTTCTCTATCTTGGTATAGATTTTATATCTCATTCATTATAGATAATAGTGCTAATGGTTCAGAATTTCAGCTAATGTTTGGAATTTGGAATGCAGTGCACAAGCTGTTTCATAAACTTCATAGTAAAATCGATTTACACATTTCATCTTTTGAAAACTTGCACAGACACAAGTCTAGACTGTCTTGTCTCCGCCCCACCCAAAAAAAAAAAGAGTAATGTTATTCATCCCCAATGGGGATGAAAACACTGTTTAGGTAACTTTAAATAATAGGTTAAATGTAAGGTAAAATTAAACGACTTATTTAATTTCACATATCATTTAATGACACATTAATGCCACATAAACCGTGTTTTCATCCCCAATTGGGATAAATAGCATTACTCAAAAAAATATCGAATTGTCGTTAACAGCATCAACTAATCTAATGATATAGTATTTGCAAGGTTTTTTTTTTATTACATTGATGAACTTGACAATTTACACAGATGTGAAACTTTTACCAACGAGCATAAGCTAAAATAAATGCCTCTGCTGCCACTAATATGAACAGGGTAACAAAGAACATTGTTCTGTTCCTTATGTTTCTATGGCTCCTCTTATGGAGGCGGTGATGATATAACACTGCTAGGGATCTGAGTATGTTTTGGTTGGGAAAAATTCAATTGTGATTCATCATGCCCTTCAATATCAAACTTGTAACACCATCCAAAATCAAGAAACTTACAAATCAGTATCACTTAAGCAACCCAAGAACACATTGTAAAGATTTAAGTAATGAAATCTTCTCAGAAGTTCATTCTTATAGCATAGACCTTTAACAGATATATATTAAAGACATTACATTTCTACTTTCTGGTTAACAATTTTCCTTTCAAATCGATTGAATATACTCGTATCAGCCTGGAGTGAATATAAACTATCAACTAAGGTAATATTAGCGGCATCAACTAAAAGAAACATAGTAGGAGAGGAATGAATCAGCAGACGTAACTTTAATCTTAGAATCAATTAAATTGGTATATGCTTTGAAAGCATTGTTGGTTTACGAACCTTAAATTGTGTTTTGGTCTACGTGTCGACTTTGATCAAATTTGTACAATCAAATTAAAGAGGATTTGATTGACGTACAAAATTATGAATTGACTTAGCATTATCTATTTGATGAATGGATTTGACTTTGAAAAAGTTGATAAACTCTAAATTCAAGTATAACCCAAGAATATGGGGGGTTAAACATTAATATTTTCAAACTCGTATGAAAAAGTTCAAAATTTGTGGTTGCATCATTACTAGATTGCACATGTATTCCTAATTGAATTGTAGGGGCAACTTATCTCTCGAAGTTATATTCCACACACCTTATAAATCATAGAATAATGCCCATGAAGTAAAAATGTAGAAAGCCCTTGTACTATTTTAGAAGTTTAAAGATGACTCACAATGTAACGTACATTAAATCTAAAATGGATGAAATGGGAGTAGGGCATACTTCATTGGAGATCAGCTATGTAAGTATGAAGTGAGTCTGGTTCAATAAGAATTGTGTTGGATCAACGTTACCTAATATTCGATCAAAGGATCGGCTTGCTGGTATACTCACCAAAGCGTTTTTGAATCGAGTGTTCTCAAAGTTTTTGGACAAGTTCAGCATGTGTGATATCTATGCACCAACATGAGGGGGAGTCTTTAAATTTTAGTTTGAAAGTCATATATATATATATATACAAATAGATATATATGTATATATATACATGTATATATATATCTATACATACATATGTATATATATATATATATATATACATATGTATATATATATATATATGACAGAATAGAACAGAAAAAACATTTCTCAAAATTTGTTTTTCAAGTCATTCTTCTTTTGCACGACTCAAGTTTGTTGGAAGTTGTTAGTAATTTCAGAAATTTGTTATGTTATAGTTAGGGTTGTCCATGAGTCGGTTCGATTCGATTCTGATGAGAACGGAACCGACCCAAAACTTTGGGTATTTAATAAATGAAATCATCGGTCCAAATATAATTATGGAACGGTGGGTTCGGTTCGGTACCATAATTAATATAAAAAAATTTATTTAGTTTCGATTCTTATTCGGTTATTTAGTTCTTGGTCTAGACCCGAGACCCGAGACCCGACCCAAACCCATCGATTCTCTATTCGGGTACCCGTTCAGGTATTTAACTTATAAAGAACCGCTCGATTCTGTTCGAGCTCATGTTCGGATCAGTCTGATTCGATTCAGAACTTTTGAACACCCCTAGTTATAGTCTTGGTATTAAACTTTTTATTTTTTTATAAAGAGATAATCTTTTAGTAAATTCAATGAAATATTTAACTTTAAATTCATTTAAAATTTAATGCACTACCAAATCAAGTGTCAATTAGAAAACTTGTAAGTGAAAGATTTATCCGTTATTGAGTCTCACTTATTTAATAAAAGTCAACAATAACGGCTAATTGTTTAATTTTAATCTGATTTTAATCTCTACCGAACACGCCCTTACAAGCATAATTATTACATTCTAACTCTATATACATGTTCCAATTCAAAATCAATGACCATTCACTTTTATTCATCAATTGACCAAAAACAAAGCCGATCAACCACCTTTGGAAACTCGTGTAGATTGGTCGAAATTGTATAAGTTTGCGCAAACTCATTACAATAAATCAGAATCTTTACTTTCATATAAATAAAATAAGATTTATGATATATACTTTGATTTAATATTTTTTCTTAATTTCGATTCTCCTAATAATCAGTTTACAGAACTAATGATCGATCGATTTGACAAAGGACTTGATACCCAAAGTACTGAATCATTAATTGGGTTGGATCGAGTCAGGACTTGATAGTTGATACCCAAATTGCTGAATCATTAATCGGCTTATACAGTCCGGTCGAAAAATCGACTGTCTAGACCATTGATCGGGTCGAGTAGATTAATTTGATAGAACTTTAAGAAAAATAATGAGTTCATCACCCCTTGAATATAAAGTGTGTTAGTGTTACCCTGCTCAATAACTTGTATCCATCTAATGAATCATTTATAGTTTTTATAAAAATATTCTTTTAAAAAACTTTGATCCAACTTTTTGTAGGTTTTTATGTAATGATCGGTCGATTAAACCACCAAATCATATGTGGAATCACTAATTCATTGCATTGTCCGGATGGTCAAGTCCGACCGCTAGCCGGCTCGACCCTTAAACCCATGAGCTTGACTCAGCTTGTGGAGAAACGAGCCGAGTCGGCTCGTGGCTCGTTTACTCGTGGGTGAGCTCGCGAGCTCACTAGCCCACAAGCCGGCTAGTGGGCTCGGCTCGTGGGCTCGTGCCCACGAGCTGCTCGTGAAAAAATGAGTCGAGCTAGGCTCGGCTCGCCTAGTGAGCCCGCCGCCAGGCTCGTGCTTGGTTGACTAGCCCGAGCGGCTTGTGGCTCGATGGCAACGAACCGAGCCCACGAGCCGACGAGCCGGCTCGGTTATATTGCCAACACTAGACCTCTATTATATATATTACTGGTGCCGTCAGGGCACATCTCCAAGTGATAAAAGGGGAAGGTGGAAAAACTCCAAATTTGTTTGAGGCTGTCCCGTCAAGGGTTCGAATTTTGAAATATGGATTTGACGTTTGAGTAAGTACAAGTTTACAAGTAACATTTCACCATATATCCTTGGAAGCATAATTTACGATTTATCTCTTTCATCAAGATTCAGAATAGGGCAGGTGGGTGGGGGGGGGGGGGTTGATCCCTTTTTTATATATATCACTGGCTTTATAACCTGCTTTAGCGTGGGTTTTCTGCGACTAATCGAGGGCTCTTCTCTAACTTAACTGTTCTGCACATTTTATTCGTGAATCGTTACTCTATATCCATAATATTCGCATCAAATTCAAATAATCTTGAAGAAAAATGGTGGAAAAGAAACTTTTCAAGACGAAGCTATGTCTGTTGTACCAAAAAGGTCGCTGCAATCGCCAGTATTGTAACTATGCACACGGCTCCGCCGAGCTCCGCCGATCCTTCAACGGTAATTTTTCTATTTTTTTTAAAAATAAATCCTTTACCATCTTTTTGACAGTTCATTTATTCGATTGGATTCGATTCCTTTTAATTAATGTTTTATGCTTCCTTTGCCCTTTTACCGGAAGATGGTAAATTTATTATTTTATTTGATACTTTCGGTTATTTTTGAGAAATAATTAGATACAAAAATAATGAATAAAGACAATAATACTACTTTTACTTTGGTGAGGACGTAATTAATATAATTATTTTTATGCGTCATTTCCTGTTGTTTCCTGAGAATTTATGAGATTTGTGAGTTTCACAGAACCGGAGAGCATGTGGATAAATCTTTGAAATTGTCTCAATTTAGTAGTTTATTGCTATAGAGAAACATGCTACTTCTGATATGGAATTTCTACATATTTGATAGAGTTGACTAGTAATTCATGTTTATTCTCTCATTTTGCTACATTTAGTTATTTTTTAGAAATTTAGGCGACACGTTCCTCAAGGAAAATAGATAGATAATTAAAAAATGAATATAATATTCCTTTTATTCGGTAAGGATTTAACTAATACATTTATTTTTACGTGTCATTTCCTGTGATTTTCTATGAAATTATGAAATTTGGGGCGGTGTTAGAGAAGAGTTGCGTGTGGGTAAATTTTTGAAATAATATCCCATTTAATAGTTCATTATTAAAGAGAAACATGCTAGGAAATTTCCACGTATTTGATAGAGTTGACTTGTAATTCATTTTTTTTCTTAGTTTTGTTTGTAGTTTACTACTTCGTATAGAATTATTATGGGGATACTAAGCAGGTGTCATTTACTTCCTAACCTCAGATGTTTTGGAATATATAGGATAAATCATTTTGAGTAACATAAGTGTGTATTTCGTTTTTCTTACTTCATTGTGCAACTTCCTGCTTACCAAATTAAATTTCTGTCCATGGGTGCTTGCAAATTTGAAAGTTGAGTGGGGCCTGGTCTGGCAAAACAAAGAATTTCCATGCTTAATCTAATTAAAATATGGAATTGTTGTTAGATTAGTTTCATACATGCACTATACTGACCTGCCAATTTAAGCCCGAAGCTCGTGCAGATTTTTGGGCTAAACTTGGCAGAACATCTTCAATCTTTTGGAGTTGAATATGCTTGGACATGCTATCACTGTCTTTGATTCGGTGGAATGTGCTCACCCAGCTTAAACCCAGTCATCCTACTTACACTCTTAACTCTGAAACTGTGTAGATCTTAGAGCATAGTATAATTCTCAGAATTATGATGAGTTTGTCTCTATTGGCTTCTACACTGGGTCACCCTAATTGAACTTTCTATTCAAGTTAACCTCACTTCTAGCTGGTGGAATTTTTTCTCATAATCAAGGAGAATTGTGGATCATGCATGATAATGCTCCTATTTAAAGCTTGGGCTGGATATTTTCTTCTCATACAGCATTGAAATATTACGAAAGCTGCTTCTGGTTTGGGTTTTATAGACCAATATTGTGCATATTGACTGACTGTCTCTTGCCAGAATGGATTATGCTGGTTGATTTATCTTTCTGCTGCTTGTGGTATTGTTTCTCGGCTTCTTGGTTTATCCTGTTGCATCTTTGAACAGCAGTATTATATGAGGATCAGAATTAGGTTTCTGTGGATGTAATCTTTATTTACATAATCACCAGTTGATTTGATGAACTATCCGAATGCCTTATCCTTCTAAATGCTGCGGTTTGTATATCCATCGAGAATGTGGTATTTTCTTCATGTGATTTCTCTATGAATGATACTGGAAAGGGATCTTGGAAAGGGATCTCTTGGCTGGGAACTGTATTCCAGAAGGCAATATGTTCCATGTGGAATGGATAGCTATTAATTTGATAAGGGCATGAGAAGAAATCTGCACTATAGCCTTATATTCTTATGGCAGAAGTGGCAAATCATTCTGCTAACTTTTATAAGTTGCTTCATTGATTCTTGAAGGGTACTCTCTATTGATAAAAGCTCAAACACTGGTATATCTTTATCTATTCATTATATGAGAGCTGTAATTTCTGTGGCTCTAATGGAATCTGCAAGATGGCTGTCTAATTGTTCATAATTATCTTATACATTCCATGATATGGTAAGCTAACTTCAAGTTGATTGTTGGGTCATGACTCCCTGCTTTTTATTGTTTTCAAGTGATGACTCTTCCCATGGAAATATTTTTGTTTCAAATTGCAGGGAGGCAGGATTATCGAGGTAGAGACCTGAGAGAAAGGCTTGACAGAAGGCATTCTCCACTGCGTAGATACTCACCAGAGGGAGATACAAGAGCAAGACATGTATCTCATGGTAGGATGTTGATCTTTAATATTTGATTTTCTTTTTGTATTGTGGTTTACTTAACAAATCATCATCTCATATTGGTTTCCTTTGGATGTTTGTTCTATTTTCATTTTTAGGAGACAGTCCTCGCTCTCTTGGAAAAAGGATGTAAGTTTGTCAGCAGAATTTTGCCTACCCCGCTCTTGATTGTTTGATGATACTCGATCATCCTTTATTCGTGCCAGTGTACTCTTTGACGGACTGACACAGACACGAACACGCTATCACATACATATTTTGTCTGTTCAGTTTCCAGACCATTTTGCTAATTTCTTTTAAAAACTGAACTCAAATAGTCACTAACAATTCATGGGAGAAAGAAGTTCATGAAGACTATGAAGTAATGTTGTTTAAAACGTTTTACCTACTCTGATTTCTCTGCTATCATCTGCAAATGATGCCATGTTGCAGTGATGGAAAGGAAAGGAATAGACAGCAGGCAGATGTCCATAGTGATTATTCTGGAGGCTTCAAAATGTCCGATGGAACTGAAGATCAAACTAGAGATAAAAGTCAGACATCCTTTGATTCCAGAAATCTTCTTGATGACAAGGTTTGTGTCTTTTGCAGGTCATAGAAGTAGCATATTACATTTGCATGGAGTAATGATTGTGGATCCTCCTATGCTTGTGGTGATCCCATCAATGTCATCTTTATCCTTTTTTTTTTTTTGGATGATATGCAGCTGAGGCAAATGCAATCAGATATTATAAAGCTGGATCACGACAAACAACAGCTGGAGGTTAATTTCCTTTGTTTACAGTTGCAGCAGTACATAAGTTGTTTTTGATCTATATTCTGCATTTGTTTTTGCTTTCTCCTGGTCTATATGATTTTTGTTTATTAGAATACTCTAATATCCATTTTTTTCTTCTTTTGGCGTCATAAGTAATAAGCTTTTATACACACACACACACACACACACACATGTTTACTTCTTCATCTTATCCTAATTTAATCTCCTACATTCTGCTTCAGTCGAATCAACACCGATCATTCCTAGTTCAGTCGACTCGACGGTAGTCATTCTTTCAGGGGCTTTGTGTTTTTCATGTTTTTAAATTACTCATATCCAAATGGTTCTGAGACCCTGTATCTGCTATAAACTGTATTCTGCAGCGAGGAGGTTTCTTGTGGCTTTGTGTTCTTCTGTATTTTTCTACTTAATTTTTGTTATTGGTTGGACATTTGGAATTTAGAATTTAAAAACTATTTTCTTTTTCTTATATTTTGTTTCTTCTGCTTCATCTTTCTGTGCAAGTAAGTTTGGTTTCTTTCTTGAAGTATATTTTAGAGTTTATATTCCTTAGATCTTACACTAATATTTGGAGCATATCTTTGTGATTGTCGCTAAGATCTTCCTAGAAGAGAAAGTTCAAGAAGCAGATAGCCTAAATTTGGGAATTCAGGAGCTTGAAATGCAACTATCCAAAGAAAAAGAGGAATGCAAAAGGTGCCATTCTGAACTTGATTTTTCTGTTCTTATATTCTCTATGATACGTCTGCTTAATTTCAATGATTTCGACCTCTCTTTTATTTATGTTCCAGGATTACTTCGAAAATGAAAAAGTTCATCAAAGCACAAGGTCGACACTTGCGGCTACAAGAAGAATTGAAGAGGCATGTTATTGTTTAGATATTGTCTCCCCTTTATTTGTAACGGATTAATTTTCTCACTCTCAGATAGGGTTCTATAATGTCGACCAGCCTAAACGATTTGACTTTATAGGTCACAGGCTCAGCTTAAGAAGCTGGGTGAGCAGCTTGGTTCAGATGCTACAGGACTTAGAGCTAATGAAGATGATATAAATATTAACACCATGAGTGACTATGAAATTGCTGATGAGCCTCTAAAAGATGCTTCTCCACTCAAGAAAAGAACAAGAGTTCACTTGGAACCTCGTGATATCTCAAATCAAGGTAGTACAGAAACCTGAAATGATGAATAAACCCCTTTGACGTTCATTTTTTCATAAATATGAATGTAAAATTTTATGATACTATCATATATTGGGCAGTCACCATACTTAGGAGCAGTTATCATATGTCCTCTTTTATGTTTTGGAAATATCATTTAGTCGACTACTATCCAATTATGCATCTCATTAATTTCTAATTTTCCGAAATGCTAGCTTTACTTTGTTTTTATTTCAAGACAGAACTACTTTAGATTTGTGATTGCTCAAAATTTTCAACCTTCTAACTTAGAAATTCTAAGGAAAGATGTTCTGTCATGTCTCATATTTGTAGTGATCTATTCATTGACGGCTCTCTGGTTGTGAATAAATGTAACTTTGATGAATTTATTTGTTACCGGGAAGTGGAGTCAAAAGCATATTATCTTTGTACACAAGTGTTCTGTAAGCAGAATATACACGCTAAATTACTTGCAANCTCTAGGATATGATAGATTTCTATTTTATTATAAGGATAGGACGTTCGGACGAGGGCTAGCTCAGCAGTCTTGGTGAATGGGAGAAAAAGGATAAGAGTGAGATTATACTATATATTGTTTATCGAATATATTTATTTTATTTAATTCTTAAAACTGCATTTGGTACTATAATTTGTATGTATTATTAAATAATTTTTAGATTAATTAAAAATTAAAAATAATATTAAAATAAGAAAATACATTTTTATATGTTTTTATGCCTAGCTTCGTCTAGACTTATCAGTCCGAAACCTCCACACCTCACATTACACTTTTTGGAACACTGTATATATAGATTGACTTTCTTATTTTTTTATGTTTTGAAAATTGTCTTTTTATTCTAAATTTATTTATTTTAGAGACAAATAACATTCCATAAAAATACTTTACCGACCCAACAATTTATAACAAATCGGATGAGTTGTTATCGTATCGGATTGACTTGTATCCATATTTGATCCATTTAGTTAATAAATTATCGGATTCGGATCTTAATCGGGTTATCGGATCGAGACCTTAAATCCATTTAGTCTTTTTATTATTGTGTTGTATTAGCTAATAGTTTTTGCTTTCCCCAGAAAATCCAACTAGAGGAGATAAATTGGCAAAACTTTCCCGTCGTCATATGCATCATCTGCAATCAAGCTATATCAAGGAATCTGAGGCATATGGTGATGCAAATAATGGGCACAAACAATCAGCACACGGAGAAGAAGCAAGGAAGGGAGTAAACACTCTTGATATTGCCTTACCAGACAAGGTGCTGCTTTGTTATGTTTATTATATTATCTACCTTCAAAGCATTCTTCACTTCTTTTTTCTCCCTAAAAAATCATTTGGCTTTTGATTCGTGTGTGAGGCACGGTATTCATGGATCATAGGATCATGGATGACTCTTGCATTCCCCAGGTTGAATTTGACCAGTTCTGTCAAAGATATATATATTTATATATATATATATATGAATAATACTACTTTTTCAAGTGTAGACAATCTTCTGATCAAAACTTGAAGTAATTCTTCCAAGACGGTAGGATTTTAGCCGAATCTCATGGTTTGGAGATTAAACATGCACAAGTTACTTTCTCTGCCATTATGCTTGCTTCGTTGGCAAAAAAGGGATTCCTGGGTATAAGGAATATGGAGGGTTAGGATCACGAGAATTGAGGGAAAATGAAGGGCTAGGTTTTCATATTTTGGTAGATTTGGATGTAGTAACATTATTTTAAGAGTTTTCTTTGCCTATCTATCGAACTCTCGATCATTGAGTAAATTTGGAGTTCAAGTCGTGGATTATGTGCAAGTTGTTCTGATGAAGGAACCAATGTAATAAATTGGCAGCTTGATCTCTGTGGAAGTAATTGAGAATATTAAATTGAATGCTTATTGTTTGAAGCTTATGAGTTAATTTAATTCAACAAACTTTAATGCTAAACACCTTATTCATTATCATGACAAATTGTCATGAGATTCAGCTGGTTATTTATGGACGAGTCTTCTGCATCATCCGTAGAATGATGTATTGCACAGAGAATTTAGGAATTATGGTCTGATGCTTACAAAGAACATTATAAATTGAGCATTCGGGACCTGGGGTCTGAAGAAATATAGGGGCGATGGGCAGTAATTGCCACCACCTCAAATGTTTGTTATGAGGACTCTCAAAAAAAGAGGAAGTTCTAGACCTATTGGACAGAGAAGTTACATCAGAAGCTTTACTGAAAAAAAAAAGGTAAATCAACAGAAATGGTGATATTGTTGTCTGGCCCTTTTGCAAACTTCATTTTGATACGAAAGACCTATATAACAGGTCCTGACGGACACGTGATCTCGAGCAAAGGCCTGCATGTTACTTTGCAAAGCTTTTTGAGGAAGGGGAGGACATATAATTTTCTCTATAGAGAAAAATCTCCAAGTGTGCAAATCTTGTTGTCTATTCAACTGAACAAGGCTATAGACCACTTTATGACATACTTGTCAACTTATTTTTCTTTTAATATTCTGAAACCACTTTGTAAAATTTGTGTTTTTTCCCATCTCTGTATTGGGATTTTTTTTTTTTTTGGAAACCAGTAATTCATTTTGTCAGTGGTATGAGCATGTCACTCCCTGTATAATTTGTTCTGCATGCTAAAAATGTGCAGTCCAAGGCATCTGAATCAGGCCTTCCACTGCCGCCAACGGGCATGGCTGCTCATGCTGTTGATGAAGATGCGGAAGTTGTTGAAATGGAGGAAAAGGCCCATGTGGTTGCAGCTGCTTCTACTGGAACCGGGACAGAAGTTGCATTTAAGATCCCGTGCTTACCGTTTATGCTGCCACCACCACCACCTCTGATCCCGCAGAATGTTTATATACAGGTTAATTTTAATTCAAAACATCAATGCGTAATAAGATATATACCCCACCTATACTTTTATACATGTAAAAATGCTGTTGGTGACCTAACATAGTGAAGTTTCTTTTTTAGTCAGCCCCATTTTTATTTTGTTTCATTTTGGTCAACAGAGCTACCAAATTGTTTTAGTTACACCACCGAGATCGTTGCCATTAGTATTTTTTTAACAGTGGGTCCTACGTGAATGACGGCTTGATGACATTGCAGCCATGTTAAATTCATACGTTTGCAAGCAACAATGAAAAAAACTGAATCTAAATGTTGGTCCATTGGTAAAAGTGTTTCTGAAATGAAGTTGACCATTCGTAGTGTTAAATTGTGTTTTTCAATCCTAAAATTTTAGTTGGAAATGCAACTTTCACAAGTGAATTGCGATTGCTGATTTGGCTTGTGAGCATGTGAATTCAACCTTAAGGGGGGGGGGGGGGGGGGGCTGCCACATCATTAACCAATCATTCATGTAAGATTGACTTGTTAAAATGACAAAAAGGAGTGCCACCGGTAATGTAACCAAAACAAATTGGTAATTTTGCTAACTAATTTGGCACAGAATTAAGATGAGTGACTAAGTGGTTATACATTAGGTGTCCAACGGTGTTTTTTGACCCTTTATGTACACATTTTCCAGTATATTCTTTTTGAAGATCTGTCTAAACTCAATTTTTGTAGTGCTTCATTTGGTTGATAATGTCAATGGAAATGCATGCAAGACAATTGTGTTATGGATATACCTTAAAATACATCATGAGTAAAAGATATAGGTGAATCTATGTGGAATGTGATGCTTGATATGTGATCTCTCTTTTAAGATTGATTTCTTAAGCTGCTGTAGAATTTGATCTGAGATGAGCAAATTGTTTTAATTGCAGTACAAGGGAGATGATGAGAATGTAGATATCGATGGACCTGATGAGGAGATGGTAGAAGTGGATATTGTTTGATGTTCATTGTTATGCATTTTTATACAATCAAATGTATATTTTTGGTAATAAGTAGAACTAGGTATTTCAGTCTATAAAGAGCTACAGGGACAGAGAGATGTCTTGTCTAATCAGCACATCAAGTATCATGTAGTCGTTTATTATGTCATTTATATATCGTACTAGTTTGTATTCAAAGGAAAATTACACTTTAATGCTTACATTTTAGCTAATGATGTTGGCGGTGGCACTTCGGGAGAAAGATTTGTACAGCATGCAATTGGTGGATTATTGGATAGGACAACAACCTGAGTGAAAATCTCAGAGAGAAATGCAAAGGCCTCACACTGACCATGAACAACGGCAGAGTGCCATGTATCAAGCTCTGGTTTGAACTTTGCCTTTTAATGCTAAGTAGTTATACTGAAATTTATTAGTCTGTTGGATAACTCCGCTTCTAAGAGCCAAGTTACTTGGATTTCTCAAGGTATTTCGGAGTTGTACCCTTTTAGAATTTCCCCAGTTACATGTTTACTATGACAAATTTTCATAGAAGAAGAGCGCAGCAGAGCCAGAGTGCTCACCCGGCGTATTTTTCAGGGTGCACTCGTCAAGGTACAATTAGTTCTACCAATCCTAAATAGAAAAAAACTGGGTTTCATTTCTACAATTCCATCCTAATAGGCAATTCAATTCTCTCACTATGCATTAATTTGCAAATGTCTTTGGCTTGAAATTCTTAGCCATAGTTTGTTGATTCTGAGCTCATTAAAGTTGGATACAATCGAGCTAAATCTTAATGGTTCTAGAATTGGTCTAGTTGTCCCAAGGCGCATGAGTAATCAAAGTTTGAACCTTATACCAGATTGGCGGGTTTGGCCAATCCAGGCGTTTGACCCAGAAAAATCACGTTTTGCATTGGAGAAATTGATGCAAATGACAAAAATAGGGAAGATATTGGTCGTTAAAGAAGCAACCTATGTTAGAATGCACAAATACAGCTTGTTGACAAATGCAAGTAGGTTCAATACACATGGACAACTCGAGAATCATTTTGTAACCAGAAAAATGTTAAGAATCCAAACACCTGAAAAAAACATTTCATCAATGTATCTACCCTGCAGAATGTTTCGAGTCTTTTGCATAGGCTGTCAAAATTTCATTAACTAAGATCAGATGAGGGAGCTAAAGATCCTTGATTCTTATATAAACCTTAAACCTCGAAAATCTATGGGTAAAACAAATATCTTACTATACACCATCTCCTTAATAGCTGTGGAAGGTTGTCTTGTTCGTGGATCTGTGAAGTATAGATCCAACTCTCGTCTATGATCCCTCTTCAGAACATCGGGGGCATTTACATCTGAAACCATAATCTTCAAGTGAAGCCTGTCTCTCTTCATAGGGAAGGTCCTCGTCTATGTACGATATTGTTATCTGTCAATAAAACAAATGCTTGAAATACCAAAATACGAGAGGCGTCATTTTGATCATAAAACTTGACAAGATGCCGTAGAAATTCATACAATCACGCGTCTGATTTTTTGAAAATGACTAATTACCTCTTCTCCTTTGGAAATTGGTTTAAGAGCAATTATAGTTGCTTGGCCATCCCGGTCCTAATCAAACGAGAACAAAACCATAATCATCCTACTGTCCTAGTAAAGGACACCTATGTGGTCTAAAGAACCCAACAACATAATGAGTGAGTAAAAGAAAAGACGACGAAGAATTCTCACAAACATACCTCTTCTCGTTTAAATGCTTTAGCATTAGGAATACAAGAATGATTCATACAACTCTGCAGAGGGAAAAAGGCAGTACCTGATGCAAAAAATAGGAAGTCAAGTTAATACTCTGTTCCTTCCACAACAGGCAGACCCGAAGATAACACCACTTTGGATGGGGATGGGAGGTATTCACTAGGGAGCAGGGAGCCAATTATTAAAAAAGCATAAACATACACCGCAATTTTTCAAAAAATAAGAAATATGAATAAGAAAATTCATGCTAAAAGATTGCATGAGATGCTTAGAAACATTTGTAAACAATTTGCAACATATTTTGAGAAACAAAAAATGCATTAATACCAAAATAAATAAATAAATAAAAATTTAACTGCAAGTATTCATTGACAAGTTAGCAATCAAATTAATCTCCGAGCGTTCATTAAAAATGAAAAGTTCAGTACTGATTTAAATTTTCATTTTATTTCACAAAGTGGTTCAATCTTCAACATGTAATCAAGAAGCATCCACTGTAAGTTTATACAAAGATGCTTACCTTGACAACAAATTGAATAGTCATCGCCAAGAGCATCAAGGACAGGTTTTGTAATTTTCTCAGCCTCTTTCTGCCATGAATTTAACAAAAAAAATAAAATTTGAGGTTATAATTTTGATGTGACAGCCCTGAAATGCCCAAGGATATGCTAACCTTTTCTGAGAGTGGAAGATCATCAATATACAAGAAGTAATCCTCCACCGGAGATGCTACAACCAAATCACTTTCACGTGGAAGAGTTTGGGTTACCATGCAAATGCCATGAGAATGATTAATCTTCATACAAATAATGTTTTTAACTGCATTAAATTAGAGTATAAGGCTTACAACGACAAACTTACAGGTTATTAAGCTCAAACATGCCAATGATATGACCATAGATTTCAAGTGAAAATACTTTGGAAAAGTTAAGGACATCAATTTATGAACGAAAACACACACGTGACACATCTGGTTTAAAAAGAAGGTTGCTACCAATTCAGCACTAGTTAGGATACATGGCTCATATTCCTTGTCATACATGGCTTCTTTCAGGATCTCCAGTGACTGAAAAATGCAAACGAGCCATTAGATTCAGAATATATGATAAAAACACAAACGTAGAAAGCAACAGATATTTAAGCCCCTGTTTGGCTCCAATACGTTAAAAATAATATTTCCCTAAATTTATTTTCAACCACAAATTTCGTGGGACCTACAACTTTTATTAACTTTTTAATCAAATTTCATCAACTTTTATCAAAATCAACTAAAAATATGATTTTTAGCCAAACCAAACAGGGGTAAATAAGATATATTGCTCCCTTGCTTCATCTCTCAAAATAAACTATTCAAGAAAGTAATGCTACATTTCACTAACTTTACCATGGGTTTATAGATTTAAAAGTGCACCTCTCTATTTTCAGCCCATAGAAGCGTATATTTTCAACTTCTCAGAACACTATTATCAATTGAGAATTGCATTTTCTCATCAGAAGAGAGGGAATCCGCTGAACGGGGGAGTTGCAATCTTCCATTCATCAGCAAATCTTTTGCTTCTGAGTGTTCCTCACAGACTGTATAAACTCATGAAGACGTATGATAATTTTTAACTGTGTGCATGTGTCATTTTAGCAAAATTTTTTATTATTTTTTTGTTATTTTTAGTAATTTTTACTCTTATAACAAACTCAGAAGCTCCATGAGAATTCTTAATTCCTCATGGTGGGTATGTTTGTGTGGCTGACAGAACTGGATTAGAAGTGTAGGTGGTGAGTTTATTGAAATGAACTTCGTTCAAATTTGAGGTGACAGCAGCACAGTGGTTCAACATTGGTGCGCATGTTTGTGGCAGTGAAAGGGTAGTGTTGCTTGTTGAGATGGTCCATTGTAGGTTGAAAAAAATTGATCAGGTTTATAGATCACTTGCTGTAGGAAAAATCCCTGTAATCCCAGATTCTGGTTTCCAACTATTGAAGGATGGTTCAATGGGGGATTGACGGGTTCATATCCTGGTTGCCAGTGATGGATTTTGTTGGTGGGTCCTGAATTTTTTCATGGTACATTTGCAGTGAGTTTTGAAGGTGGCACTTTTGTCTTTACTGGAGTGAGAGCGAGGAGCAAGTCTTGATCCCATTTTTGTGGAGGATAAAAAAGATCACAAGTTTTTTCTACACTTGGCTAAAAAAATTGTGCCCAGTCTAGGCTACCAATTTAGGCCGGAAGGTTCAAATTAACGTTACAATGCTTGAACATGAGTAAAGATACTGGAATCGGGTTCTAACTCCATCTTTTGTGGAGCAATTCCAATGAACTTTCCCATGCAGCAGATAAGGACACATCATTAAACAAATACAGAATTTCCTCCTGAATAAACATTTGCTGCCATGAGGAAATTAGTAGCTGTGATAGTTGAATGCAATAAGAATGAGATACAACTTCAACAAGAGGCTGTAAGGAGAGTTGCTGACTGCTACAAGTGCCATTCAAATTGATTACTTAGATACACACAATAAGATGTGTGCCAGATGACTATGATTGAATTAGAACCATATATAAATTAAAAATATGTACATTTTACCCAAATATCAATTTGGACAAAACTCAGTTGAATCCGTTCAACTAGTCAGAAAATGGTAAGAGAGAGCCCTGTGGTTGTTTTTTTTATTATAATAGAGGTGTTTGGTCGGGTAGGCTGAAGATGAGGTATAGAGAAAGAAGTTTTGGGCTCAATCACTTGAACATTACTAGGCATTTCAAGAATTAGAGCTTGAAGAACATTTCGGCAAAGAGACTACCCTAGTCCGCCAAGATATTGGCTTCTATGGTTTAATGTAATATCTTCTCGTGGTATAGGGGTGTCCCCATTATATATATACATACATACATATATATATATATATATATA